AAACTATGTGCTTTTGGAGCAGCAAAAAACATGACAATGCAACACTTGATAAAGCCTTTAAAATAAAGTTAGTGCTATAACAATTATGAACTACAATACTGATATGCAAAATGAGTCTCAAACTAAAGGTAATTTTTCTCTGTTCACCTGAAGGAGGCGGAACATCAGTCAGGAGAGAATGTACATCTTCCATAGCATCTGTGTCGTCGATCTCAAAATAAAAAGATTAAAACTATCACATAAGTAGTAAATATATAATCATTTCACATTTAAAAAAATTGTTTTTATTATTTATTAAAGAGAAAACATAAGGGTCAAGGACAAGCAGAGCCATGTTTTCCTAAATTAAAATATAGAACTTGAAAAAAAAGTTTCTAGTACCTGTACATTTCTCTATATTACGAATACTTATAAATATTTATACTTATAAATACTTCTAAATGAAATCTTTTACATTATAAAGTATATTGAATTTTAAAAAGTAAGCCTTTTCCTGAAGCCTTTATAAGGGCATGTTTCAAAAGATTTTTTTGTTTTGTTTTGTTTGTTTTTGGGGGGGGTAATTAAGTTTCTTTATACACTTTTTAATTAATTTTTTATTTTACTTGATTTTTTAGTGGAAGTACTGCGGCTTGAACCCAGGACCTTGTGCATGCTAAGCACACAAACTCTAGTAGAGCTATACCCTCCCCCCTCAAAATATTTTCAAAGATAACATAAGCACATTACCTTTATTTGTTTAAATTAATAAAGTACAATTAAAAAAATCTTTTGACTGAATATAGAACTGTTTTAAAATAAAATTACATAAGACTAAATTTAAAGGTACATCTTAAAAGAATAAGTCCAAATTCCATTTTTCCGACACAATATTCGGTTGTGGATTATAAACGGTGAACACACCCAAAGGGACGTACACTGACATTCACCTGTACCCTGGGGTGTAAGTTCTGACTCACGCCCTTGGGATTTCAAGCACTACTTTTCCCTGCACTTCACCTTAGCTGCCGAGTTGTGGCCCTACCTCAATCCACTGTCCCCCAGGTACTCCGCATGCAGATCTCAAGGGTTTTCCAACCGCAATCCCGCCTCCCCGCCCGTCTCCTGCTGAACCCACGCCTTCCCCTCAGCGTTCTGCCCGCACCTGAAGCACTTCTGTTCTCTGCTTAGCCTGGATCCCAGGATCAGAAACTCCAAAAACGCTCCAGATCAAAGTTCAAGCAATGCTAAGAATCACCTGGAGGGTTTGCCAACAAACTCCTGGGCCCAGCCTTGAAATGTTCATTCACCAGGTCTGAGGGATTTGTGTATTTCTTACAAGCGCCTAGACGCTGCCGCCGCCGGCACAGCACACTGGGCAGCACTGCTCGGAGCGGTCCCTGGAAACTCCGCGTCCTTAACCTGACACATTCTTTCACTAACTTCCCTTTTGCCCCCATTCTCAGGCTGAAGAGAATATGAGAAAGAGGCACGAATCCACCCAGTCTGAGTTTTCTACCAGGTAACACCCTCACCTCAGTGAAGTCTCGCGCACCCCACAGCTGACATCCTGACCACAGTCACAGGCACTGTTCTAGAATCTTCCAACCCCCAATCCCAACCCAAAGCAATTCCACCATCAGCTCCCTGCTTTACTGAGACCCAGGCATCTGATTTTTTTTTTCTCTCAACTGACACTTTACCGGAAAACATTTCTAAGGATCCTCATTTATTTTCCTTTCCTTCAATATCAAAGGAAGATTATTTATCTCTTCCAAAGAGATTCTAATCACTCCAGAGGGGAGGGAAGTGGATCTGTGAGGGCAGAGGCTCCATAAACAAATCATGCCCCCTTTACTCTCTAGGGAAGTTCATTCTGAATGTATTTTTATCATAAAAGTTCAATTACATCTTCTGAATTCAATAGGAAACCACTACAATCAGAATTCATAGTGCTTATATTATTACCTGTAAAATGCTACTATAATTACAGTAACATAACATATAAAGCAGGTAATAATTATAGTTAATTATACTAAGTGGAAGAGAAGAACTTTCTTATTTAAGTTAGTCCCAGTTTACAAAAACGGCTCCAAAATTTTAATATTTAATTTCATTTAAACCCAAACATTAATTTTTCCAGAACCATCTACATTATTGTATCAGTCATCTGGTGCTAAACAAAAAAAGCATATTACCAAGTTCTGATATTTTTCAAGCTTTCTGTAACTTCTATAATAAAATATTAGTTGATATTTATAACAGCTGTAATGGTACAGAAACATCACACCAGTTTAGGATCTGACTGTAAAAACACATATCTCGTCTTCCAAAAACTTAAAAAAAAATTAGTCCAATACAATAATACCTCCAAAACAAATGCATCTTTTTTCCCATGTGAAAGGTCCAATTCGGCAACTTCATCAGAGCTTTCTGACTGCGATCTCAGAAGTCTTGAGCGTTGTCTCGGTTCTGGAATGGGTGACCCTATAATCTCTTCAGACATCTCCTAAAAGAAATATAATGGCTTTGTATCATGACTGTCTTTTTCTGCTTTGGGGTTTTTTTGGGGGGAAACTGCAGTCCTATCTTTTTTCTTTTTTTCAGTTGAAGTATCACTGACATGTAACATATTAGTTTCAGGTGTTCAGCATGATGATTTGATAGTTGGACATTTTAGTTTGGTTTTAAATTTTTATATTTAGTAGAAAACTACCAGGGGAGGGAGTCTGTAAAATGTATTCAAAGTCCATATTTATAACTTTTGTGACTAATTAACCTTTTACAGAGTACATAGATATTTCCTTTAATTAATAACAGCAATCTTGATACACTAATCCATCCATACATTGTCACAGACATGGCGAGGCAATACTGACACCTAGTGTACAAAGAAGACACTACAACCAGTAGGGAACTGGCAGTCCTTCCAGCCTCAGAAGGTACTGTCTACGCAGCATTTAGAAGTCCTAATAACCAATAATTAGAGATTTATAGACCCAAATAAGATTCTAATCTTTTCTATTTTACTCAGTAGGAACGTTTCAAAGCCCCAGATAGTAAAATGGAGAATATATATGTACACATATATATATATAGATACATACATTATGCATGTATTTTGCTGTGCAACTTACTAAGCTAAATAAACTTTGACAGTTACAATCACAATCTCATTGAGGTCAGTGTATGGTGCAATCTTACATGGGTTTGTAAGCTTTTACCTATTTTATAGCCAAAGATCACAGCTGACTGGAGGTTCTAAATATCTGCTGTCCACAAGGAATAAATACCAAGAGAATGTGGATATGTGAGCACAAATGCAAAAGACATAGCCTGTTGTTGGTGTAACAAAGCTATCTTTTAAAAGGATCAGGAAATTATGTTTTAAATGCTCACTGCTCGTGTATACCTTACGTTAACCTGCCCCATATAAATCTGACAGGGTGCCTATTACAGTGACTACAAAATGAGAAAGTTAAAAACTCTGTATCCTTTAATGTTTTTACCATAGATAAGCAATCTTTCTTTTCACTAAAAAAAAAAAATTTTAAGCCATTTATTTAGTCATCCAACAAGTATTCATTAAGAAGCTACTACTGGGAGGGAGTGGTCTGGCCATGAGGAACAGAGCCCTGATGGAAGGTCATTCTGTTGGGAGTATCAAGCAAGAGACAAGAGCCAAAAACACATCTCACACACAGAGACACACAGAGATAAAAGAAACAGAAAACAACAAAACAAAGAAGGGGGTAGGAAGTCCCCAGAATTGATGGGAGAGTTACAATTTTGTAAATAGGGTGGTCAGAGTTGGCCTCCCCCCCCAGAATAAGGCATTTGAGCACGGACACAAAGGGAGGTGAAAGAATGAGTAATGAGGAGAGCAAAGCCAGGCAGTGGGGGAAAAATTTCCTTAAGATAACCTATAAATATACTAATATCTAAGCAATAACTTACGTATTCACAGTGTTGATTGATTTTACTTACCGGAGGGTTGATTTCATATAGCTCTTTATTCTTAGCAATCGTGTCGTTTATCTTCTTCTGCATGTGAGATATGTGCTGCTCGTAGGAGCCATCGTTAGGAGTCTTGCCGGCAATCTGAATACCTCCGGGCGTCGGTAAGGCTGCTAAGTACACACCTGTGGCCGACTGGTGAAAACAATGGGGCTATAATCAGAAAAGTGCCTGAAGAATAACAGTCCTTACGTTTTCATATTCAGGGATGTGGACTTCGCCCTGCAGGAGAAAGATAATCAGCACCAGTGTTTGCACAGGACGTATGTGGAAGGGCCCAGAGGAACGGCGGGTGGTTTCTGCTGGCGGGCACCCTGCGCAGCTCGGGGACGGCCGTGAAAGGCTCGTTTACTTTCCACTGCGCACCCAACTGCATTTCAAAGGTTTCCCTTGTAGTCGAAAAAAATAAACAGCACTGAAACAACAGCTTAGGAAAAAGTGATTGAAAGCTGTTAAAAAGTAAAATTTTTAATGAATGAAAGTCTACCTTTAAAGTGGCAAAAGGAGAAGGGAAACTTCTACAAAGCAAGTGAAGCAGGAAGGACAGGAAACTTAGGCAAGACCACACTCGATAAACGTGGTGGCGAGATCTGAATCTGTTTCTGACTCCAAAAACCAAGAACTTTTCACTATACCATCTTGCCTCCATAATCAACGAGAAAGAAAACTTCGTACAGATTTATTTTAAATATTTAATCAAAGGACTATTAAATTCTGACTCTGTAATAGTACTAACATGCCATTAGTACTGAAAAACTACTAGGGGAAATGCAAAACAATACACACACACACACACACACACACACACACACACACTCCTATGTGCTATTTATGTTTATATATGCTTATATAAGCAAAGCAAAGCAAAAAAAATGTAAAAAAGCTTAAACATCAAATTGTTGACATAAAAAGAGCGGAATGGGGAAAGAGAAGATAATCCTTTAGCTCTGGATACTTGTACATTCTGAATTGTTAAAGTTGTTATTATTATTACATTAAACAAGTGCTGATTTTGTAGAAGTCCATCCTAGAAAGGTATGGTGCTCTGTGATGAAGTCTGTACCGCAGATGAAACTGACCCCCAGCTCTCCCTCCTGGGGTGCTCATCTGTGCCCACGACTGCACCCACGACCCAGCTCAGAACGCCCTCTGTGCCACATGCAGTCTTAGGGCACCATCTCTAGCACCTCCTGGACTGCATTCACCAATGAGGCAACAGCCCCAGAAGACTGACGACACAAACTCTGGAACGAGACAGGCGAGGGCTTTGAGATCGAGTTCTGGTCCATGTAACCACATCACATCACTCTGGACAAGTCTCAGCCTATCGC